TAAACATAAAAAATAAATGAATAAATTTAGTGTCAAACATAAATAAGTCTATTTTTATAACATTTAACAGGAATGAACGCAATTAGAGAAATCCTATGTATTATAATTAAATAATTTAAAATTATATAAAAAAAGAAGTTCTTATAATAAATAGTATAAATTACAATTCACTCAATTTTACTCCACTAAATCACTCACTGTGAATTTAAGTAGAGCTATTATTTATGGTTATGATATCAAAATAGGCACCATNTCTCTCTCTCTCTCTCTCTCCTCTCCTGACTTGTCATTGTCGCTCTTAGTTTTTGGACTTTAGCCTGCCAATGGGGGTACAACCGTCATTTCATGCTCCCCAGCTATTTCGACTCCATTGGCCATTAAATCCATTGTTGGCCCACCCTGGCAGTACTCATTTTTGCTCTGATGAAAGGATGAAATGTCCACACCAAAGAGCACAGCGAAATACCAAAAACAACTGGACTGCTTGGTTTGCATCTTTAAAATTTGAAATATTTGAAAATAGGTCTCTTATATGTATTTATTTGAATTTAAATTTGATATATATATATATACTAGTATACTCATGACTAAAATCACTGTATACTAAATTATAATATTACGTATGCATTGAAATGTGTGTGTATGTATGTGCAGTTGTGTGTTATTGAGTATGTGTTGAATTTTTAAAATTTTGGAGAGAAAAATACGTGTTGGGTGTGTGAAATTTTGGAGAGAAAAATATACTCTCATAAGTTCAAACTTTTATCTAATTTATTATATAGATATATATATATATATATATATATATATAAATAAAAATTAGAAACATTCAAATAAAAAAAAAATTTATTATTTAAATACAAAAAATAATACTATTTAAACACTAAAAAATAATAACATTTAAACATAAAAAATAGTAACATTTAATATATATATATATATATCTATATAATAAATTATATTTGAGATCTGTCGATGGGCACTCAACACTTGCCCTTTGTCCTCTTGGGTTTTTTGGTGTTTTTGAAAATGTCGTGGGTTAATTTCTAGCAATAAGTAATGTACTGTTGAGAGTTTTGTGAATAAATCTCGTTTCTCTGCATGTCGTATAATGCTGATTAAGGGAGGAAACTATCCCTGCACACCCCATTCCTATGTAGGCCCAAACAAGGGGAGGGCTTGGCTTCATAAAGACATATGACGTCCTTAATGGCTAAACTGGGATGATACCTCCAAGCCATGGACCTCTCAGCTCAATAGAAAACACAGCAATGCTGACCAAAATTTTTTATCAAATTTTTAATACCAACTGATGTGACAATGATACAATTTTTACATCAAATAAATGGGTCCCATTAATATTCAATGATGGAGATTTGAGATGAAAAACTTGGTAAGCATGACATTATTGTAAAAAATACTACTCCAAAAACTGTTTCTTTAATACACAAAAGCAGTCCCATGACTCACCTCTATGGAAGCGGATCCTAGAGTGTAAGCCCATTATACAAAATGGAGCCTGCTAATTAACAAATGGACTGATCCCTGGGTATCCAACGAGCCATCTTCTCGAGTCTAGGAGACTAGCTCCAAACAAACTGTGATAATCTTCCATCACTGGTAGCAGATTTAATTAATCAGGAACCAACACTTGCTTGCTTCACTCTTTAACTCAGAAACAATACAAGCAATCCTTAGCATTCAACATCCAAGGGAAGATAAATTGGCCTAGATATCATCACAACATGGTGAGTATTCCACCAAACCAGCCTATTAGCCCTTGATCAAGACTCATCAAGTAGCTATCTTCAACAAGTAGACTGGAAGAGACTGTGGCCAAGAAAGATCCATGAGAAACACAAGGTCCGCCTCTGGGAATTAACAACATAAAGTTTGCCAACAAAGGTGTTGACATATAATAACACAGAACACGCAATAGGTTTTTAATATACCTCTAGAGGCCTTTCTTGAGTTATCACGCTCACAAATCCAAGGGTGTATAGTGTTAACCCAAGGAGAATGCAAAGAGAGAGTATATGGAGATGGAGAGTATTTGCTTTAGAAGATTTGTATTCCCTTGAAAAATTCTGTGGAGAATTTTTCTATATGCATATGGGTGGAGGTGATCACCGAGGTAACCTACTTGTAACCACCCAATCATGGGGTAGCATGATCACCTCCTCTTTGTAGCGTGGTTTCTCTTGTAACTTCCACCAACTACTCAGGTTAAGATTCATTTGTCCATGTGGGAGGTTCTTGATCCGGGTCCAATGATCCATCATTAATTAACATCTCCCACTCGCCTACATAGGGCAATTTATCAACAAGGTCTCTATAACAACATCTATTTCACTCATTTCTTCATACAGGAAATGCAGCATGCGACCCAATGAGAGGCATGTGTAACAATAGGAGTACTCTATTAAGTTAACATTAAACTAATAAAATACATCACGCAGAAGCATCTCGAAGTACCCCAGACAATTTGATTACACTTGATATAGCACTCTTAATCCCTCAAAACAAGTAGTGCTAAACCCCAAATATGTAATGCACTCATAACTTTATCGAAAAACAAATACGACAAAATCAATCAGACAATGAATTACAAAACATGATGTACCATCGAATAATCTTCCTTGGCCCTCATGTCAATCCAACTAGACTCAACCTTTTTCCTAGTCATGTCTCGCGAGATCGCATCAATCGTGATCCTAGGGTACATGCTAAAGTAGCAACATTGAACATTCTGTTCATGACATAGTCAGGAGTTGACAAGTGTATATATATAGGAAAAGAATCCATGTGGCTCACACAGTATTGAAGCAAGGATTCATTCGACACTCCTACTATTGGTTGACTTTAAGCACATACCGTATGAAACATATGCTATGGTGTTGTTTTATAATATAATAGGCGCGTCACATTTGAAATAAAAAAAAAAGGCCATATGGATCTTAGTCTAGTTGCGAAAGAGGCGCTTAACTTGGATTTTCCAACTCAGTCACTCTCATAGCACCTGTCAGAAAACTCACATTCGGCTGACCTGATGAGGTCCCATCTTAGTTCTAACTAAGGCAACGTATAACAGTAATGTTCATGTTTATTTTGCTCACCTCCCAAGCATCAAAGACATAAATGTCTCATCTTGCTCGTTTTCTCAGTGCCAAAGTGAATCACACGCATGAGTGAGTTGATTCAAGCCTAGTGACACCTTTGACATAAAGATGTGTATTTACATAATGAAACAACCATTCCAATAAGAAATCATATACGGAAATGAGTACTCATAGTAGTATCAATTACAAAAAGAGTCCATATAAATCAAACCCTGTGAAGTGCTATACTCCTAATGTGGGACAAAAAACACATATCTGGCAATGTGCTTAGTCGCTACTATATTGCTAGTGGAAATATGCTTCAAGACTACCTCTCCTTGTATAACCATATCTCTAATATAGAGATAACGAATATTGATATATTTGGTTTTCTCATGATACTTGGGATCCCTCACATATGCCAAAGCGAATGTGCTATCAAAATAGACAAGTGCAAACTTGTTTGCATGAGATGTAATATCTAGTTGTTGGAGGAATCTCCTCAACCAAACTGCTTCCTAAATAACAGCTAAACAAGCCACGTAATCTGACTCCATCATGGACAGGGCAATGCAAGTTTGCTTCTTACTACACCAAGAAATAGCTCCACCTCCTAGGGTGAATGCATAACCCAATGTGGATTTATGCTCATCTTTGTCACTTGCCTAATCAGCATCGCTGTAACCTCTCAGTCTAAGATCTCCACCACGATGGCATAAGACAAGGTCAGCGGTCTCAAGAAGTTATCGAAGAATCCTCTTTACTACTTTCTAGTGAGCGAGTCCAGGATTACAAGTCTATTATCATATGCTTGATTACCCACACATATTTTTCCCTTTTTTTTTCTCAGCAACAAGAATGAAAATTTTTAAATTTGACTTTTTGATAAATTATACATTGACCCTTCTAACTATGTGTTTTGTTAACTGTTACATTTCTCACATTGCACTTCTAACTATAGTATGTTTAATGATAATGTGTTGTATAATTAGGTTTGAGTACATGGTTATATTGACGAAAGGCAAAGGATCATGCCAATGTACAAAGGCCGTAAAACGAGTCGGGTCCTCGACTACAAAGAAGCTGTTTTACTAACAAATCCAGAAAATCAAAGGAGAGGTAGGAGAACCTTTTATTTCACTCACCTACTTCTGTTATGGGATCATAACCTGGATTGTTTGTTGATCCCCATTCTCTCAATTTTAAATTTTGCTAAGGCCCGTTAAAGTTCAATCATTCGTCGTCTAAATTCAGTGTGTTTCATAAGTATAGTGGTCGGTCTTTTGCCAAACCGGGCTTACCCAATGCGTCAATAAATGGCCCGTGATGACCCATGAGCCCAATTGTATACCTTTAGCCAACAGCCGGGCCAATCCAGCCCTCCAAAAACATACGGGTCTATTCATCTATTGGACTGGCCATAATTGACCTTTTTTTATTACAAATCTGGTCAATTTTTTTTTGGGGGGGGGGGGGAATTTTAGTGGTGAGATTTATTCGGTTATGGGCCAAACATGTCTGTCTGGTCAACAACGGCCCACAACCTTACTTGCTGGGAAAACATGCTACCACGAGGCCCTCGGGTCATGGGCTGTGAACCATATATTGAGCTTTATACTAGTTCTTGTATCTAGTGGTCCACATATAAACTTATCGCCGGGGTCCAATGAATTTAAAATGATGATTTAATTTGACGAGAATTGAGACTTGAAACCATCCGAATTTTATTATTATTATTATTTTTTTAGAATGTTGGACAAATTAATTTGTACATATTCAACTTAAACTTAATGTGATTTGATATTATGATATTCAGGTGGATGACAAGTGCCAATACTCGATCGACAACAATGATATCGGGTTCATGGGTGGATATGCTCTGATCCACCCGTAGGATTTTGGATGATCACAGCGAGTAATGAGTTCCGCACTGCTGGGCCTGTCAAGCAAGACCTCACTTCTCACAACGGCCCATATACCCTTTTTGTAAGTACACATATGAGCAACCTCTTACACCATCAAGAAAAAAACTTTTTTGGAACAAAACTTTTTTTTTTCAAGGGTTAGAGTATTTGAGTTAACTTACGTGTACTTCGACTAATTTTTTTTTTGATCTGATCAAAGACAAGTTATTCACGTCGAGATTAGAGTATTTATAAGCGATAAACTCCACATGGCTAGGTTCCAAATAGTTGCTAAAATTCAAATTCAGAACGTTTAAATTTACATCTCGTATTTGTTATTACTTGAACTATTTTTTAGAGTTAGAACAAAACTATTACCTTCATTTATTATAAAATATATGTTGGAAAACATATAGCATATTGCGGAAGTGTAGGATTAAAGACATACTTTATTTGCTTTAATCAAAAAAACGTTTGAGGATGTTCCACGTACTTTAGAATCCAAAACAACGTCTTTTCTTTAATTGCTCGAGCAGAATAGTGTTGTTACACAAATAGGAATCAACATCGAGTTTTCACAGCACAAAAGCCTTTTAATGTTATGTAGGGAGAGAGAGAAATAGAGTAGGTATCTCAAATGTCTCATCTATTGGATTGCCTTGGGTTTATATAGGCAACCAATAAGTGTTATTAAGAGACACTTCATAAAGGGACATGTCTGTTAATATTTAACAGACATGTATTTTGGGTGAAGGATACCTTTTGGTAAAAGATACCTCTAAAAGACATATCCCTTTAGTCATTCTTTAATTTGGGTCATCCCACCATGGGCGCCCCGATTTGGGTCCATGACCCAACCAATATCTAACAATATATTTTATGTAATCTTCAAAACAAAATTCAAAGACCAAATGACGTAACACTCATATAATAAGTTAAATTCGAATATTAACTAAGTAAAATTGGACCAAAAAGACCTCCATATCAGTTGCACATCATTTTTCTCATTTGATAATATCCCATTCACTCATCTGACTTTGACAATTCCAATTAGCAAATCTCTAATTAGTCTTCTATGGTGTTGGTCATAGTACAAGACAAGAAATAGTCTTAGGGAATCTTGTGCTCCACCCCGTGTAGATATTGAGTTTAGTCCATCTATAATCCCTTTTTCTATTTGGGTAATGCTAAACATGCNGCTCACAGCTTTTCTTCAGCCCACGTTTGTGCTACTTTTGTTGTACGAGGAATGGGGTGAGACCCAAGGTGAAGCCGACGCCGCAAGGTAGGTCCCTCCTTGTGCTGTTATCCCAATAAGCAACAGAAGCAAGACCGAACGTGATGATCCTTCCCCTTTTTGGCTCCCCCCCCCCCCCCCCCAAGCAGTCCTCTATTAGTGCCTGCTAAGACTTATTTCCTCTTGACAAATGAGTAACAATAAAACCAAAAGCACCATTATTTTAGTTATACATCATTTGATCCCTAATTTTTATCCTATTTTTTGGTCGGTGCAAAATTTTCTATTATTCTATATTGTGCCAGTTTGGAGGTAGTTGAAAACTTTAGCTTTGGAAAAATTCAAAGGAAAAAAAATCTAATATGTTTGGACCCTGGCTTATTGGGCGGCTTTTCCAGCAATTTTTTGGGCAAAAATAATTTTTATCAACACCAAGGAAAAGCTGAAAAAATGAAACTTATTCAATGACTTCCGAGAAAAAGCCGATACTTTTAGAAACACTCTAAACGGTTTTAAGAGTTTTTTTAACTCTGACTTTTTCATTTCACTTTTCAACATTTGTTTCACAACAAAAAAGGTTGGCTCTAAACGGACCCAATAGATAGATGCTATATATTCATTCTTCAATGCACAACACTTTATTTAGCTTATTTTTTTTGGAAGGTCACTTCATTTGCCAATTAAAATAAGCTCTTTTTACCATTTTGCCTTCAATTTTCAGTATTCCTTCAGTACACATTATGCTGGAGAACCTTTGGGAATCAAATTCCGTGATGGAGAGCCATGGAAGAAGGTTTTTGGTAGATGCTAAAGAACAGGTATTATTTTGTCGATCTTGGGTTGATTGATTTGTAATTATTAATTGTAAAAATAGTGAAGGAGTGTAAAATAAAATTAAAAAAAACTTTACATGTATCACGCATTTATTGGTTAAAGAAATAGAGGTATACTATTGAAAAATTAATCATCAACTCTTATAACTATAATGTCTTTCAGATGTTTGTAGAAACAGAAAGTTGTGCATACAATTTTTCACTTTTAGAAAATTATTCTTTTTCAGGTCAACGTGGTTCAATTATCGGACGATTGCTGGTTCACGATAGGTACTTCCATGGGTTGTGTTGTGTCAAGTAGGGATAATTGTCTCGGTGCAAATTTATTCAACATATATCAATCCATTTCTAGCCATCTGAAGTTTGGTTTTGTCTAGTCTATAAGTAGCATTAGCCAGATTCATATTGGGTTTAAGCAAGTTATTGTTGGCTCAATACATAAAATAAGATTAGTGGATCAACCCATTTATAACTCGATATCATAGAGATAAAATGCATACATTTTAATTTCGTATCGATTTCGATAATTATGTTAACAATTGTCNCAGTTTGGAGGTAGTTGAAAACTTTAGCTTTGGAAAAATTCAAAGGAAAAAAAATCTAATATGTTTGGACCCTGGCTTATTGGGCGGCTTTTCCAGCAATTTTTTGGGCAAAAATAATTTTTATCAACACCAAGGAAAAGCTGAAAAAATGAAACTTATTCAATGACTTCCGAGAAAAAGCCGATATTTTTAGAAACACTCTAAACGGTTTTAAGAGTTTTTTTAACTCTGACTTTTTCATTTCACTTTTCAACATTTGTTTCACAACAAAAAAGGTTGGCTCTAAACGGACCCAATAGATAGATGCTATATATTCATTCTTCAATGCACAACACTTTATTTAGCTTATTTTTTTTGGAAGGTCACTTCATTTGCCAATTAAAATAAGCTCTTTTTACCATTTTGCCTTCAATTTTCAGTATTCCTTCAGTACACATTATGCTGGAGAACCTTTGGGAATCAAATTCCGTGATGGAGAGCCATGGAAGAAGGTTTTTGGTAGATGCTAAAGAACAGGTATTATTTTGTCGATCTTGGGTTGATTGATTTGTAATTATTAATTGTAAAAATAGTGAAGGAGTGTAAAATAAAATTAAAAAAAACTTTACATGTATCACGCATTTATTGGTTAAAGAAATAGAGGTATACTATTGAAAAATTAATCATTAACTCTTATAACTATAATGTCTTTCAGATGTTTGTAGAAACAGAAAGTTGTGCATACAATTTTTCACTTTTAGAAAATTATTCTTTTTCAGGTCAACGTGGTTCAATTATCGGACGATTGCTGGTTCACGATAGGTACTTCCATGGGTTGTGTTGTGTCAAGTAGGGATAATTGTCTCGGTGCAAATTTATTCAACATATATCAATCCATTTCTAGCCATCTGAAGTTTGGTTTTGTCTAGTCTATAAGTAGCATTAGCCAGATTCATATTGGGTTTAAGCAAGTTATTGTTGGCTCAATACATAAAATAAGATTAGTGGATCAACCCATTTATAACTCGATATCATAGAGATAAAATGCATACATTTTAATTTCGTATCGATTTCGATAATTATGTTAACAATTGTCGGCCCTAATATTCTGATTTCATAATGAATATATCGATATTGAGTGGTATTAATATTCTTGTGCAGGTACTTTAACAAAGAGATTATGACAGCCAACTCTGCTCATGTTGGGTTAGGAGATGCCGGATCTTGGCAAAGAGAAAACATGGTTACGGCATTGTTTAACTAATAATGAACTTAAATTGTATGACTAATTAGCTGAAAAATTGTTCTCAGGGTTACCAATTTTGGACTCAGGCTTGATGTTGAGGGGTACTTCTCGATTAGAGGTGTCCGAGCAAGGAATTATAACTTGTATGCTTGGGTTTCTAGATTTATTAGAGACTACAAATGTAATGTTTATGTTAGCGTTACACTAGGTTTGCCTCCAAATTTGAATCTAAACCTGAATCCAAATCGATTAACGCTATTTTTTTTTTCTTTTTACTTTTAACTTAAGAAAGTGTACGGGTTAATTACACTTTAGCCGCCCAAACTATGGACTTGATTTCACTTTATCTCTTGAACTATTAATTTTTTTATATTGTTCCATCAACTATTTAAATTATTTCACATTGTCACAATTGAAAATATTTACTATCTTTTTGGATGGAAATTCTTGGCGTGTTAGATAAAGTGAAAAAATTTACACAATTCAGGAGGGAAAAGGAAACAACCTTATGGTAAAATATATAATAGAAGTTGATAATTAGGGCAATATAAAACTCCAAACGGGCCTTTGGTCCAATGATATTCTTTATTTTGTGAAGGCTTTATTTTCTTGAGGTCAATGATTTAAGTTCTCCCTCCCCTCTCCCTTTCCCCAAAAAAAAATTAAAAAAAAATATATAAAACTAATTAAATAGTTGAGGGTATAATATGAAAAATATGATAGTTGAGGAAAAATTATAAAAAAAATCATAGTTAAAGAGGTCAAATTATAATTTTCCTAAAATATAATTGGGCTGCATATTCTACAATTCATGGTGAATATACTTTTAACTGGGATTATGTGGCTATGTACATGTAAAATTGGCTTATGATATATATATATATATATATATACTAGTCATACCTTGTGCCTGAAGGCAAGATGAAACATAAGATTCTAACATTCAAAATATTTATCCCACTATACCAAATTTAACATTAATTTCTTTGCTTACATCATTTAAAATTAATAGCGTCAAAATTTTCTCAAAAATGCATAACTCGATAAATTTTTTTTTTTGTGTATGAATAATGTATAAAATAAAAGTTGTGTTAAACTAAAAATTAACTAAATATTAAATAATTAAACATGTGATAGAATTGTGGTATGTGATATTTTTTGGGAGAAAAATGTATAAAAGATAAAAATTTAACTTGTTAGCTGATTTATATATATAATTTTTTTTTATTGCATGAATGGTGGAAATAAAACTTAGGGTTTCTCAAATTGCAGGCGGAAAGATCCTTTGAATCTCAATTTACATCATCAAAGATTAAAGATCTTAATTTACACCCTCAAAAATAAAAATTTGTATCAATGCGCATCTAAAACTAACAGCTTGCAGTTTGCCTTTTAAAACTAAATGGATAAATTATATTTAGACCCCCTTATACTTGTCACTTAATCACCTAGACGACTCACATTTGAAATATTACATCTACATCTATTGAGAATCTAACTATGACTAAAAATGTTCCCCCAATTGAGTATTCAAATAATTCTGTTTAAGTGATGTTTTCCATTGGATATAAAAAAATTATATAAATGCCTACATTATATTGGGCATTCAAATGATAAACTTGATTTTAAATTTTAGAGTGTAACAAACCCACAAAATAAAACGCAGTATGAAATTATAATTTTTTATTAAGATAAAATCATATTTTTTAACGGTTATATTAACAAATATCAACGACAAGAGGTTATGTATTAAACGTGCACAAACGTCGAGAAGTGTAGGAGTAATATTCTAAATGTGAGGGAGCCCAAATAATTAAGTGATAAGTATGATGAGATCTAGGTATAATATATCCATTTAGTTTTATATGGCAAACTGATGGTTGTTAGTTTCAGGTGCATAATGATACTGATATTGGTCCATTTTTGGCTTGGGCCGCCCATTTGCAAAAACCCAAAGCGTCTGATGGCCCCCTTGGTGACATGGCAGCTGAACAACCCATCTGTAGCCTGCCCACTACGTAGTAAGAATGGGCCACAATCCAAAGAAGAGGGTCCAATGACATCTAGGTCGGTATGATCCTGTTTGGCCACATCCACCTCAAGAACAAGGAGCTTGGTACTTTTTGAATTCCAAACATCTCCCATTGCGCCACATGTCTAGGGGATTGGAGATAGTTTCTGGAGCCACTAATGAACACATACTCTCTAGAAAAGGGAATGTTTGTGCACATTCCGTTTNTGTCTAGGGGATTGGAGATAGTTTATGGAGCCACTAATGAACACATACTCTCTAGAAAAGGGAATGTTTGTGCACATTCCGTTTAAGGATAAAAGACATGATTTGCCTCAGGGTGGCATGTATCACTACAAGACAAAGGAAGAGGAGACCAGATAATTAGCAAAATGAAGGAGAAAATCACAGAAAATCCTAGATCAATTACTTGTATAAATAGAACACTATCACATTGTGTAAATGGATCAAAGAAATCTGTATTTACAAGGCACTCTAATCAAAGGCTCTAAGCCCAGAAAACCTACTGCAACCTTTTTCTCCAAGTAATATAAGCCTCAAGGAGTAAGAATCTCTATTACAGTGGATGTAGCCTTGGTCTTTTGGCTAAAGTGAACCACTTATATATTGCCTTGATCTAACTTCATCTATTTTTTCCCTGTTAATCTAGATATCTGCATTACCCCTATCATTGGGTCTCAAGCCCATGCTTCTGCACTTGGGCCAGGTATTTTCAAGCACCAACGGACTATTGGGGAAATCAAGGTCATATTGGGTTGCTTTGCGGGTGGGGGCGAGTGAAGCTAAGCAAGAAGGGCAAAAGCCAAGAGGGCGAGATATGATGATTTTCTTGAGGTGAAAACGATTCAAAAAGCCTCACGCCAAAATGTGGAAATAACCTTCTCAGACTCTGACTTGGAAGGATGTTAACACCCCCATGATGACCCTTTGGTTGTAAAGGCTATCATTACAAACAAGGGTGTACATCGTGTGCTAATCAACAACAACAACTTGGTGTCATAGCCGAAATTAATTCCTGACCTCTATACTACAAATATAACNATCATTACAAACAAGGCTGTACATCGTGTGCTAATCAACAACAACAGCTTGGTGTCATAGCTGAAATTAATTCCTTACCTCTATACTACAAATATAACAGTGACAAGCAAGGGTCAATATCACAGAGAAATGAATTAATTTAACTGGTAACAAGTGCAATAATATGGAAATAAAAAGGGGGATTTGTTTGTCACAAAAGTAGATTACCAAATCGTTAACAAGAATCAATTAATGAAACGTCGGTTCAAAAGCAATTCAACTGTTGGTTATGGATTTAATCATAGACAGACAAACAATCAACTCCTATCAAAAGCTTAGTTCAAAGATCATTTAGATGCTAAATGACCTTCTTCATCTCTATAAACATTAATACAAGTCTAGTACTCATATTAAATCTTGTTATTAATCAATTCGGTATTAAGCTTCTATTAATAATAGCCTTAAGAACAACTAAGATTGAATAACAAATCTCCACCAGTGAAGAACTATTAATCCAATTTATAATTCCCTCAAATTAATAACAAAAGTTTAGAAAACAACTGCATAATCTGATTGATGCTACAATCAAGTTTCAAGACAAATACGGATCAAGAACTTAATCTAGCATTCATCACGTATAACATCAATTAGTGTGCACCTTAATCAAAAGAACTATGTAATCTCATCAATAAATTAGAGAATCATATCATTCGAATAGAATTTGATATTAAATAATTAAACCAAGTCTCACAAAACCATATACTAACTTAGAATACCTTCAACCGAACAAAGGAAATCAACTGCTCATTACTTAGGTAAACCCACGTTTGTAATATAAAAATTGTTGTGCCTCCCTTCCTTAATCTGCCGCCTATCTCCTTCCAGGAAACCTTAGATACATATAGAACACATATGACACTTCCCAGGACGTGTACAACTCAAATTCCTACATTATAGGTATTCCTTATCAAAACAGATTGACAAAAATCTCAGAAATCGTGCTAAAACTTGTGAGTTGTTCTTCTATCAAATAAAGACTGAATCTTGATTTGTGCTCTTGATGAAAGTTTTAGCACCAGATGTGTAGATAAAATTTGGCTTTTGAATCACCTGATTTGAACTTCAGAATCTCAAGTTATGACCCACTGAAGTTTACTGGGTCAAACAAGAATCCAACTCCAATCAGGATTCGGATCTACTTTCCAGGCCTGACTTTGAAACAATGTTTGGAGGCCCAAATGAACTCGGATTTTTACANTTTTATAGCTATTCTCAACTTAGCCTTGTCAATAGATACACAACAGATCATTATCCATAGCGACTCCCAGTTAGTGGTCAGGCAAGTGGACTAAGAATATACAGCTCGAGACGACAAGATGTCTCTATATATGAGGAAAGTACAAATTTTGCAGAGGAAGTTTGTGGTGGCCGAGTTTGTCCAGGTGCCACAAGAAGCTAACGCCCGAGCCGATGCATTGGCTAAGCTGGCTANAAAACCATACCTTTCTAAAAAGATTAAGATGTCCTCTAAAAATTTCATGAAGACCTATTTCTCATTCTGAAATTCTAACACCATCCAAACCTCAATTGAAACTTCATAGATCGAAACAGCCTAAAAGCTGGAAATTGCACAATATATTCCATATCNATCCTCAGGGAACTATGATTGGTGTTTCAAAGTGAGCAGTAGTAGAGACCAAGTAACTGAAAACCTTGAGAGTTTGAACTTATGAGATTTCTTGAATAGAATATAAAATTCTTTCCAAGAGTTTTCTAGACAAAATATAAGATAAATTTAAATGTACAACAGTTACCCTTTAGCTCGAGGATTAGAACATGTAGTTAATCATCTGATTTATTATAGTTGTGGTGGATAACTCAATTAACTCCCATGTCAATAATAAGTTAATCGGAAGATAAAAATGGACTGTGAGAATTAAGTACATAATTCTGATACCTTTTTAGA